ATCATAGAAAGGTAGTAGAGCAATCAATAGGTACAAAGGCATAATTATTATGAAAGTTCTAATTCTGCCTATTATCATTTTCTGCAAAGTAATGTTTGAAATCTTTTTTTTGTATTTAAACAGAATAGGTTAAGTTATTTTATATAGAGAAGGAGAAGTAGAAGAAAAATATAATAATCAATTTTAGGGAACAGAACAATTTTATTTAATAGTCATTAATAGTCATTAAAATGAGGGCTGATCCCTGCTCCATCCTCAAAATGGATCAACTTCAGCTTAGATCTAGTGCCCCTGAGACATAGGCCAGTAGCCTTCAGTAGACCAAATGACAGTCTCTTACGAACCCAGTAGATTACTTAACTGTATGGTTGATCCCATTTTAAGGAAAGTCTCCCAGCCAGCTTCTTAAGGAAAGTGTTAACCTCCACTCCCACCAAACCATCAATAGTAAAACATAAGGGTGTAAAGCTGGTGTGTATTGACTCACAGGCAGAGGAGTATTTCTTCCTTTTAGCAGTTTCGGCAGATTTAAGGACAGCTTTAGGGGACATATGACGATATGATGGAGAATCGGAGTCAGTGACTCTGACATCAAACACAGCTGTAGCTTGAGACTGCCAGATACCACGAGCAGAATTGTCACTAATCAGGGCTTCAAAATTACCATAGGACTCACGAATAACAGGCTCCTACACTACGTGACTCCACGCTAATGATGACATATCAGAGTAAATCTCTACCCTCATTGTGACAGAGGGTCACAAGGCCTCCCTACTTACAATCAAGAGCGTGAGAAGTCGTGAACTCAGAACTGCAAGCATCACAATTAGGAGGGAGCTTTAGCAAAAGTTTAGAATAACGGAGGCAGATGGCATCTCTAAATTCAGTACATGACAAATCAAAATTGTCTTTAGTAGTTGGTAGAATGCTTAACCATGAAGATCGTGAGTCTATGGAATGTAGCATAATTTTTTTATGGTTAGTATCTAACTGACTTAAAAATATTAGAGAAAGTAGATTTATCAGCCTCCCTCATGACATTAGAATGGTCTCTCCTTGATAAATGGACCTGGCAGATGTGATAATATGGAGTAAATGGAGTGTTAAATTTGATTGCATCTGTTAGAACATGAGTAGCTGAACGAGAGGTAGAATAGGAAAAAG